GAGCCTCAGTCCATATTGAAGGCTGCAGTCCTTGACCCTCTGCAGTAAGTGCATGAGGTCCTCCTCAGTTTCAGCGAGCAAGGTTGTGTCATCTGCATAATGCAGATTGTTGATAGATCGTCCACCAATCCTAATGCCACGCTTCTCCTCATAAAGCCCAGCCTCTCAGATAATCTGCTCTGCATACATGTTGTACAAACATTAAAATTAGGAGATAACAGATATCATTAGAGTGAAATGTTTTGGGGCACCACTTTTGGATTTTTCTCATGGTAGCACTTAGCTATGGAGTCATAGTGGTCAGTTAGTCGTATACAATGTCAGCTCATTCAAATTCACCAGCTGCTTCAAAGGAGATAGATGGATAATTCCTTTCTGTGTGATTTACAGTCTCCAAATCCACTGGACATTCACCTATGAGTTGGTTCCTACTTAACAAATACTTTTAGGTCTTTTTGAGCTGTATTATGTGTATCATAAGCATAAGTGATAATTTTATATTCTAAATCTTATTTGACCTTTGTATTTTCACCAAAATAAATGTTACGTGTAAAGCTCCTAGAATCCCTAGTGTAGATTTTTTTAAGAAAAAAATATTTTGTTGTTTCCTTGTTGATAACATACACAGATGAACAGTCAAAAAACCTTACATGACTGGATAGATTTCTGCTGAGTGAAATAATTCGGTCCCATAAGGACAAATACTGTATGAAACCATTGTTGTAGAATGAGTATGATGATTCAAGGGAAGACGGGTGGAAGCAGAGAGGTGAAGATGGGCAAGGGGAGGGGGAGGATTTAATCATAGGGTCACACCATTTAATAGGTGGGAGTGAAGGAAATGGGAAAAATCCAATGTGCAAAACAATATATCCAAAATTTGTAAATAAATCAGTCTAATAATAAAATAAAACCCAAACAAAAAACCTAACAATTCAATGTACAATCAATGACAGTGAGTATTCTTAAAGCTGAGCCACTAGTCTCACGCCCTTTTCAGCAAGTTATTTCTCCTCTTATTGACATAAATTCATGTCTCTCTAAGTTTATTACTATTTTTTAAATAAAATTTTTATTTTCTACTTGTTTACTTTCAAATTTTGTACATGTTGTTTTTAACATCGAATCTTTCCTTTACCCACCCCTCTCTTTACCCATGAAAGTTTGCCACCCTATGATTACTTCACACACATCCTCACCTTTGAATTTGGTGGGACATTTGGGTTGTTTCCTGTTCTTGCAATGGTGAATAACATTGCTATGAACATTGGTGTGCAAATCTCCATTTGTGCCTCAGTTCTAATTTTCTTGGGGCACATTCCAAGTGGAGGAATAGCTGGGTCATATGGAATTTCTATGTTAAGCTTTTTGAGAAAACACCAAACTGCCTTCCAGAGCAGTTTCAGCATCCCATCTCTCCACATCTTTCCAATATTTCTTACTAACTGTCCTGTTAAACTTTGCCACTACTACTGGGGTGAGACGGTATCATTTTGTGGGTTTTATACACACTTAATGTAGTGTTATAAACAAAATTTAATTTCCATCATGTATTAAAGTCACACAAGTGTTCAGTTCTTTCACTCTTAGGGTCGCTATGAGTCTTCTATGACTCAATGGCACTTAACAACAACAACAACAACAACAGCAATAACAACATACATTTAAAATAAATGCATCTAGCCTTGTTTTCCCTAATATAAAAGTTGTGTGTTTCAAATCCCTAGGGGGAAATAAGACAAAACAAAAACCCACTGAAACAAAACCAACAAAGCTCTTGAGTTTTAAAAATAACTTTTCAATGTCAAATTTCCATTGCAAATATTTAATTTTAGAATAACAAAGAGCTTATTCAGAGTCACCTTCTCAGGCAAGATAAAAGCAGTTGAGAAAGTTGTGATGGGAAAAATAAGCAGATGTTCCAACTCTATGCTTAATTGCTTTAAATCTGAATAAGAAGTAT